TAAGTCCAGGCAGTTTGATCCATGCCTATTGGTTATTGGGAAAATAATCTAAGATTAGCCCTAAAATAAAATCCACCATGGTTTGAGAGTCAATTGGCTAAATAGATCTGAGGTGTGGGATGCTGAGCAGCTTGTGTTTTCACTTTTTAAAATGCCTTTGTTTTATTTATTTATTTATTGCTATCTTTTCATTGTTTCTTAACAAAAGAAAAACCACAAAGCAGGAGCCGAGGATATAACTCGGACTGGTAAACTATGTAGAAACCGTTATCTTATTAAAAAAAAAAAACAACAACCCTGTGTGTAGACCCTAAATCAGGAGTTGGTCCTTTGTCTTCACTAATTAGCTGGTCATATCTAGTGGAGATCTGTAGTCAGTAAAGAAGTGGCCACCATTGGCAGGCTAGATTAGAGACCTGAAACTTGAAGAGGGGTTATTTTTATATGACTCCTGGCAATATACTAGCCTTTCCCCACCCTGATGCTTTGCTTTCTTAGTTAGCTGAATAAAGCTCCGTGTTTCCAGTTGTAATTTTGTTTAAAATTTATCAGCAATGAGTCTGTTTTTTTTACTAAAAATTAAAAATGGGTAGAAACATCAGCATAAAATTTAACTTCAGTTTTCTAAATAAATATTGGCATTAATATTGAGGGATGGGAGGGCAGAAAAAAAGCAACAAGAGAAGAAAGAATTTGTGCTTTCTGATTCATTACAAAAATAAAACTTTTCTTTTTAGTTTATTACTGATGACGTGTGTGATATTAGGGGTTTCATTATAAACTCCAAATTCCTAGGCAGCATGAGTGGATGGGGATGCCTAATAGTCATGGGGCCAGTGATTGGGGGGTGCACTGTAGGGGACAGCGTGCTGGTATTTGTGGTAGGGGCATTGGATGGGATGCATGTTACCCTCCACCATGTAGCAGTGACCTAGTCTTCCCTCCTTGCAAGCCTGTCACTGCAGCAGTCAGGAAATCTCGCTCCCTGGCTCTCTCACTCCCCCACTGTGAAGCAGCAACCACCAACCTTCCTTGGGTAGGTGAGAAAACGGTGAGGGGGAGACCAAGATCTTTCCTTCTGGAGCAGGGAGCCACATCTGGGGAGTTCCGGCACTTCCAAAAATCAGGTGAAAATCAGTAAAATCTGAATAATGGCTGTTTTTAAACCAAGGAATTTGAGGGAAAAAAGGTTTAAAACAATAAGAACAAAGATCCAATCATACCCACTCATTCACCCAACTTATATTCACTAACTGGAAGTCATCTAGTGTGACAATGGAAGTATTTTTAGATAAACTGAGTGTCACCAACCTAGAAACAAGAAGGGCTCAGTTCTTTGCAGTGCCCAATGACTGTGTGCAACCGTGAAGAATTGGATTAGAAGACCACACAATCCAGTCCATAGTGCTTCATCTTTGTTAATTACTACTTTAAGATCGGAAATAGAGACAGTGGAGCAGGCAAATGTGTGTTCATTATGAACTAATAGAAGCTCTATATTAATTTATTTTTAAGGTTTGGAGTGCATTGCCGGGCTGGAAGAGTTACCATATTGTCTCCCTTGGGCGCATTGCCATAGCTTTCAATGAGAGTGAAATAGAAGAGTTGGATTTAAGTTCTATTGACACCATTGCTGCACTTAGTCAACAAACAGAATGGACTCTTGTCCAGGTAAATATTTTTTTACATTTACTGCTGGTGAAAAGGCACAGGATGAATGACCCTCCAAGACCTGAAATTGCCTACAAAACAAATACAGCTCCTTGTACTGCCCTTCCATTTTTTCTCAGCAATAATCTCCAGTGCCATCTCTAAGGCTGTGTCTAGACTGGCCAGTTTTTCTGGAAAATCAGCCGCTTTTCCGGAAATACTTGCCAGCTGTCTACACTGGCTGCTTGAATTGCCGCAAAAGCACTGACTTCCTACTGTAAGAAATCAGTACTTTTTGCGGAAATACTATGCTGCTCCCGTTCGGGCAAAAGTCCCTTTCGGGCAGTACAGTAAACTTCCGATAATACGGCACTTTTAGCACCCAGGGGATGCTGGATTATCAAATATGCCGGAGTACCGGAAGGGCTATGAGGAGTCTGGGGTGGGGGTGGAGGTCAGCGGGGAACTGCGCAGCGTGGGAGAGGGCGGTGCTGCGAGACCAACCCGGCAGCACCCCAATTGCTCTACCCCTGGCTTCCCCAAGTCCACTGCTGCTGAAACTGACCAGTGGCTGACTTGCGGAAGCCGGGGGCAGAGCAGCTGGGGTGCTCTGCCCCAGGGCTTCCCCAAGTCCACCGCTGCTGAAACTGACCAGCATCAGACTTGAGGAAGCCGGGGGCAGAGCAGCTCCAATTGTCTGGCTGGCTGGAGCACTTCCGGGTTCCAGCTGGTGCTGGACTATCAGGAGTGCCGGACCACTGGATGCCGGACAATTGGAGTTTTACTGTATAAGGGAACAAAAGGAACTGGAGTGTTTTAACACAGTACTTCACTTTTGATATTTCCTATTGTATTTTTAAAAGCAATACTGATTACTCATTAAGCGTAGGTTAGCATCTAAATAAGACACTTAAAGAGTACAGAAAGACTCTAATTTTGCAATCCTGAACTTTATATTGACCTCTTATGGAAGAGAGAAAATTATCTATGACTTAGTTCTTTTCAGTTGAATTGAAATTGGGAAGTTCTTAGATGCTTCAGTAACTGGTGGTTCTGGTGAAGTGGTGGGCAACCTGTGGGCCACTGGGGTTCTATATGTGGCCCATGAGATATTTTATTTACCTTTGTCCACACACAGAGTTGCCAGATTCTGCTGGTTTTCATCTGCATAGTTTTTTCCTACCAGTATTACAAAAGTGACACCCTCAAAAAGCAAGGGCATGTGAAGTGAGGTGTGTGCTAAGTGCACGCAACGTTGTGAGAGCTGTGTGCTCCCTCTGCATCAGAGTGCTGCTATGGTTCAATTGGCACACTTCACAAATTCTACGTACACAAGCGTAGTTAGCAAAACTATCCTCTCCCAGGAAACTGTCTTAGTGATGACAATCTTGCAGCTCACTGAGATTAAGGAGGGCCACTCATGTGGCCCACTCAGTAACCTAGGTTGCTCCTCACTGTGGTAAAGAGTTAGTTTATTGCCTGGTCACGGGAGGTGCTAAGTGCCTTCGAGCCACACTGTCTGCACTTGTAGACAGTTGTGCTAGGCCCAGCTACGGAGGCACTGTGCCTGTAAGTATCACTGACATTGCCATTGTCGTCAGTAGGAGCAAAATTGCCATGGCCTTCAGTGGGAGTATGCACAGGCACAGTTTAGTAAAATGATAGATCAGTTTGTAACGGCTGATATCAGTATTCGCTTCCGGTCATAGAACACTATATCACATTTATAACTGTTCTTGATCTCATTACTTTTGCAGGCTAAATCTATTTTAAAAGGGTTTCTTAAGGACTCTAGTCAGACAGTCCATAGGCTGAAAAGCTTTGATTTAGCAGGATTAGGAGCTAATCTGTGTGCTCTGAACACCTCAGATATCAAGACGATAAAGACTACAGAATTCAGGTAAAAACATTTTATTACCAAAATTAAGTACTATTTTATTTTTAAGTCTCTCTTCATTGTATTAGAGGTGAAATGTGGATTTCCAAAAGCACTATGTCTGAAGAGCTCTTTTCTGACACTTTAAAAACTTTTGGGCATGCTGTAATCTGCAGGAAGATGTCTATCCATGGTCATTGAACTGCGCTGAGGGAACATTTTCTCTGATGCCACCTCCATTAATGAAAACCATGTATCCAGTAGGGATGTGATCGTTTAAATGCTTAAACAGTTAACCAGTGAGCCTGGGCTCATCAGTTAAACTTCATGGTTACATTCAAGCTCCTCCCTCCCCCTGTCCTACTGCCTCTGTATCAGAGGCAGCAGCATGGGGTGGGACAGGCAGGAGCTGGTATGCACAGAGAGCTGCCTACGCCCTTACATGTAAATGTGGAACCGCTGAAATATTCCATGTTTACATTAAAATATGACTCTTTTTAACACCGCTAGTATCCAGCAGAATCTTCTCGAAGGACTACTTGGATTAGGCAAATTTGACATCTTCAGTGACCCTTTAAAATATTCCCTGGTTTTTACATAGAAGTTTGTTCAGCCTTTATTTTAGAAAACACCAGATCAAGCAACTGATTTTTAGTGGAGCCTTTTGTAGCTTGTTTAAAACAGATTCCAATGTGATCCAGTATAGCTATTGAATTGAGAAACTCAATTTTGTTGCATAAAGTATTTTAGATTAAAAAAAAAAAGCTGACCGCTCCAACTCCTTTGCAGTGTGGTCATCTATATTTGGGCCTAAACTGGGTTTACAATAGGGATGTTAGATATTGTTTAATAATTGTGTAACCACACAAAATCTTTGCTGTTACACAATTATTCAATGGTCTCTAAGGGTGGGACCGACAGCCAGTGCACTCTTAGCACCACTCCCAGGGAGCCCCCTGCTACCCCACGCTGCTGCCTCCCCCAAACACTGGCTCCCACCTGCCCCCTACCCCTGCTGCCTCTTGGGAGGTAGCAAGCGGGAGCAGGCAACTCCACAAAGCCGGCTTAAAAGTTGGCTCCCTGCATGTACTGGCTCCTGCCTGCCCCCTCATCCTCTGCACTGCTGTCTCTAACAGAGGCAGCAGCGCAGAGAGGGTGGGGAGGTAGGCAGCTCTGTGGAATCTGATGCTCGAGGGGAGCTGGTTTAAGAGCGGCAGAGACAGCAAGGCAGGGGAGGAGTGTGTGTAGTCATTTGGATTAACCGATAAGCTCAGGCTTTTCAGTTAATCAATTACATGACTATACGCTAACATCTCTCGTTTACAATTTTGATAGCATAAATTAGGCATATTTCATACATTTTAAATATTGGTTGTAATTACAGTGTGTCATCCTAACCCCACTCACCTTTTGCAGTGCTGTGATTGCAAGAGTTGGTTTGTTGCCATGTAGCCCTCCTGTTCTGGAAGAGTTTAAGAAGATGGCAGAATCTGTATTTGGAATCGCTACAGGATGGAACAGCTCTGTTGTACATGAGATTGGTACCATAGCAGGTAATAAGACCAACTTCTATCGGTGATGTTTTTGAAACATCGTTTTCAAAAGCATTACAAGCCAAATTCATCACATGTGCTCTTCTGCACTGGCAAAGGACAGGAGTCACCCCTCCATAAGCAGCATTTACATTAACATCCTTCGCCCACCCCCAACAAAAAACACAACAAAAAACAAACCACATTGAGAGTTTCCACTGAGTGCTTTAACTTTCCACTGCTAAGGGTCCTCTGTCAGAATCTGCACTTGCTTTCCCTGTGGCATACTGGAATACATTTGTTTCTGTACATATCTCAATGAGTTAACCTTGTGTGACAGGGCAGGTTATAGGGGTAGATTAGAGAGAGAGAGAGAAAGTGAGAGAGGGCAGGTTATAGGGGTAGATTAGTGAGAGAGAGAGAGAGAGAGAGAGAGAGGCAGCTCTAACAGCAGGAACTGCCCTAGTTAATTAGGAGAGGGTTACTTCAGGGCAGCCAGGAGACGCTGACCTGGAGCTATCAAGGGCAGAATGGAAGCAGCTGAGACCAGGCTCCTATAACTCAATTAAGGGCTAGCTAATCTGACTTCAGGCAGCCATCAGGCCTTTTAAAAAGCCTTCCTTGCTGGGGGCAGGGGAGAGGGGAAGAGGAGTTTGGAGGGAGACAGAGGGAAGTTGTAACTGATAAGGAAAGATTCAGAAAAACTGAAAAAGAGGGAGGACAGTATTGTCAGAGACAGTGGGGAAGATAAAAGGCTCTGACAGGGAATGTTTGGGCTCGCTTCCCCAAGTAGCCAGAAAGTCCAGCCAGTAGCTGGGGAAGACTGATTACCCAGACCAGGGTCATCTGCCCCACGCCCCTTTTTGCCAAGGGACAGAAGCCCAAATGCCAGAAAGGGTAAGTGGGACCTGTGCCGCAATACCTAGACTGCAGGGTTGTGGACTGAACGGGGTCTAACCTTGCCACACGTGGTGTTAGAGTGGGATCCTCCGCTGCTGTGAGACCTGGTGGCAGACCCACCAAGGGCAGGCTAAGCCACCCCTGTAAGAAGAGAGAAAAGCAAGATGGAGGACGTAGTGAAGGTGCTTGTACAAGCCACCGCAGCACAGCAGGAAGCTACCAGGATTCAGATGGCTGCTCAGCGGGAGTCAGTGTAGATACAGCAAGAAACTAACCAAGTGATGATGAGCCAGGCCGCCCAGGACTGAGCCACCCTGCAGGATGTAGTAATGCAGCTGAAGGTTCTGATCACCCAGGTGCATGGCCAAGATGGAACTCGGTCCCTGCGGGCCAACAGTTACCTTCAGAAGATGATGGGAGGATGACGTGGAGGTATACCTCCTGGAGAGGATGGTCCTGTGGGAAGCCTAGTGGGCCAGCATCCAGGGCTCTGTTTCTGTGTGGTGAGGCCCAGAAGGCCTATTTTGACATGCCCGAAGCAGCGGCTACTCAGTACTCCCAACTGAAGGCAGAGATCCTAGCCAGGTCCAGAGTGACAACTGCCATCAGAGCCCAAAGGTTCCAGGAGTGGAGATACCAGAAGGGCAGAACACTCAAGTCATAGTTATTCGACCTGATCCACCTGGCCCAAAAGTGGTTGCGGGCCAAGATCCACAACTCAGAGAAGATTGTGGAAATCATCGTCCTGGACTGATATATGAGGGGGCTACTGCTCGACCTACAAGGATGAGTCAGCCAGAATGACCCCTCTTCGTACGATGAGATAGTGGCGTCTCTTACAACCCCCAGGGAAAGAAGTCTAGATGGGTAAGAGAGCTGTCCTGGCTCCAAGGCCTTGTGTCCCTGAGCCCTCAAATAGGACTTGGTATGGGACGAAGGAGATGGGAGAGTGGCCAGAGGCTGTGAAGGGATTTGAGGACCTGGGGAAGGAAGGTCAGGCGGTAAGTTCAAGAAATAGGGGGCGCCCCACACAGAGTATCAATGCATGTGGGGAGGTAGGGCATATAGCATCACAGTGTCCAAAGGTGGAAGAACCCATGCAGTGTGACCTCGGGGACTTGAGGGGCCCCTGCAGCCTGATAAACCTGGAAGGCATAGCAACACCCCATCCCCCCCATCGGTATACCCAGCCCATTAAGATGAATAGCATAGAGACTACGGCACTGGTGGACTCAGTGAGTGCCATCACGTTGGTCTCAGGGCAACTGATGGAGCAGGACCAGCTGTCCCACACCAAGCACACAAGGATATCCTATGTGCATGGAGACAACAGCTATTATCTTGTCCTCCCCCTACAGATAGAAATTAAGGGGAGAGCCACAAGGGTGGCAGCAGGGATAGTCCTGAGGCTCCCATATCCAATTGTGATTGGGTGGGACTTCCCCGGGTTTAGCAACCTACTCCCTAGGGATGAGGGGAGGGTAGAGAGCCAACTCCTAGTCTTCCACGAACTCTCCAAGGATCTGTTCACTGAGCTTGGGAAGCCATGGAAGTCAAGGCATGATAGGAGAGCAGCCAAGAAACTGGGCATGTGAATCCTGGCCCAGAACCTAAGACAGGCCCTGGCCAGGGGGTGGAGGCCGAGCCAATCAGAAGGGGGCAGCACAGGATGTAGGCAAGGTCAGGCCCATCTCAGCAGGGCCCCTTGGGATGGACGAGATTGAATGCCCTCTTGAGCTTGGGCATATAGGGTCCTTGCTCGAAAATTTTGAGCAGGACAAGGCGAGTGACCCGATATATCAAAACATATGCGAGGGGGTAGTTGAGGTAAAAGGTGTTCCAGTAGAAGGCAGGACCAAGGGCCCTAGACCGTATTACATAATCAAGAGATATCTACAGTACTGTGTAGTGCCTGGCCAGGATCTGGTGGTGGAACAACTCTTGGTGCCCCAGAAACACTGGAGAGCTGTGCTGGACCTGGCCCACAGTCATTTATTCAGGAGCCACCTAGGGGTAGAGAAAACCCTGGACTGGATCTTACGATGGTTCTGTTGGCCTGGGGTGTGTGGGGAAATCCTGCGATATTGCACCTCCTTCCTAAGTGCTAACTACATGGGCCCTGGCTGCACCTTGGAGCAATACAGGACTGGTCTTGGCCAGTCTGAAAGAAGCAGGTCGGGGTGTTCCTGGAACTGGCGGGGTACTATCGGAGGTTTATCCCCCACTTTGCTACAAGGGCATGTCCCCTGATAGACCTAACAAAAGCCCGTGGCCTGGAAGTGGTGAAATGGACCCCTGCGGCAGAGAAGGCATTTGTTGACCTGAAAACAGCCCTGTGCAGCGACCCGGTGCTCATAGTCCCTGACTTTGAGAAGGATTTCTTACTCCAGACCAATGCCTTTGAACTCAGATGGGTTGCCATACTGTTCCAAATGATTGGGGAGGAAGAGCATCCCGTCCTATACCTGAGCTGGAGGCTCCTCCCAAGGGACAGAAACTATGCCATGTTGAGAGAGAGTGCCTCACAGTGAAATGAGCCATGGAGAGCCTGCGATATTACCTACTGGGATGAAAATTCACACTTGTTACAGACCAGGTGGTCCTGTAGTGGATGCACCAGAACAAAGGAACATGAGAATAACACAATGGTTCCTGTCCCTACAATCGTTCCACTTCCAAATGCAACATAGGGCCAGAGTCAAACACAGTAACACAGATGGCCTGTCGACAGTGCACTGCCTGCCGTTCCAAGTAGCCCAACCCAATAGTGTTGAGCAAGGGAGGAGGATATGTGACAGGGCAGGTTAGAGGCTAGATTAGAAAGAGAGAGAGGCAGCTCTAAAAAGCAGAAATAGCCCTGCTTAATTAGGAGAGGGCTACTTCAGGGCAGCCAGGAGCAGCTGACCTGGGGCTATCAAAGGCAGAATGGAAGAGCTGAGACTTGACTGCTATAAATCAGTTAAGTGCCAGCTGATCTGACTTCAGGCAGTCACTAGGCCTTTTAAAAAGCCTTCCCTACTGGGGAGGGGCAGGAGAGAGTGGAAGAGTTTGGAGGGTGGCAGAGAGGAGCTGTAGCTAAGGAAAGAGAAACTGAAAAAGAGGATGTGGGGAAGGTGAGGGGATCTAGCAGGGAGGGTTTGGGCTCGCTTCACCAAGTAGCGGGAAAGTCCAGCCAGCAGCAGCTGGGAAGCCTGGTTACCCAGCCCAGGCTGACCAGGGGCATCTGCCCCACGCCCCTCTTTGTCAAGGGACAGAAGCCCAAACACTGAAAGGGTAAGTGGGACCTGTGCTGCAGTACCTAGACTGCATGATTGTGGACAGAACAGGAGTCTGGGACCCAGAAGTGGGACTAATCTTGCCTTACTTGCTAAGCAAGGCTGAGTCAAACTAAAATTTCAGGCCCACCCTTCTTCAGGGGCTATTCTTCCTTTCAAGCAGCTAGACACCAGTGCCATATTGAGAGCACATTAGGGGGCTGTGCTCATCCAAGAGGCTTTGAGGGGGAGTTTCAGCCAAGGCCATCTGTGAGACTCTTCTCCTGGGCCTCTCCACAAGGGGCCCCTGCAATCCCTCTGTGTGCCTTTCCACCTCCACCCCTCCCTTCTCCTGCCCTCCCTTCCGACCCTGCAGAACAAATAAAGAAGCCCTTTTTTTTCTATTTTTGGCAAAAACAACTCTTTATTTGGGGGACATACAACAGGGAAGAGACTGGCGAAAGAACCTGGAATGGGGGAGGGGGCTCAGGTATGGGGCTGGGACTGGCGCCTGCCTTGGGTACCTCGGGAAGCTTCAGCTGCTCAAGAGGTCCCATCGCCATATGTTCTGGGGTCCCAAGGGAGCTAGGAGGGGAAGCCATGGAGCGGGGAGGCGGGAAAGGAGTTGCGGCAGGGGTGTGTGTGCGCAGAGGCAGGAAGGTGGCTGGTGGCCCACTCCATGCACACAGCCATGCACTCCATCACAGAGGTGAGGGAGGAGCATATGGCCTCATGCTGGCATGGCAGCTGGTCCCAGATGGCCTTCTGCTGCTCCTGGTCAACCCACGCCCCTCCCAGTCAGCAGCCCACTCCCTGTGCTCCTTGTCAAGCCCCTAGTCAAGGGACTGGATGCAGGCCATCTGGTCCTGCAGCAAGTCTTACTGGGTTTGCTTCTTCTGGTGGATCCCACGGAGTTGGGTGATGGTAGGGGAGGTAGTGGATGTGGCACGCTTGCAGCTGGCCCAGCTGTGGAGAAAAGTTACAAGGGCAGTTATCCCAGGAGTCACTGTGTATGAAGTCTAGCCCTAATCTCTGTGCCAATACCAAAGGTCTCGATTCAGATGATGGCAGTGTGCTTCGAGCAAGGCCATCTGTTGCCTAGACAACGGGCACTGTTCTGTAAGGGCACAGACGTCCCAGGTGAGCCTTGCTACATCCACAGCCTATGGGGACAAGCAGGCATGGTAAGGTGCAAGCCAGACTAGGAGCCTGTGGGTAAGAGGTGGCGAGAGAATGGTGTAGCTGCTTTCTGACCTGCACACATCGGGTCCTGCACTAGCAGCGTCCCACAGACAGAGAACTTTTATGCCTGCCTGCTGAAGTGTGTGGGGGGAAGTGTTGGGGGAGGTGTGTGAGAGCAGCAGAGGCCATTTGCTGGAGTGAGTACTACTGGGGACCTCTCTTCTTCCTCCCTCCCCTGCCCCCAACAGGTTCCCATGCATGGGATCAGTGTCCACATCACCACGCTTGACTGGGAGCAGATGCTGCCCAAATGCACGCGTGAGCTTGTGCAGTGTGCAGCATTGCTGTGTGTTTCCACGACCCCAGCCCCCTTAGTAGCAGCTTGTCGTGCAAAGGTGTCCCATCACGGAGGCTGGAGTAAAGTAGGCCTCTCCAGGAACCTTGTGAGAGAGAGTGAAGGGTTCCTGTATGAGAGCGTCATGGAGCTGAGTGCTCTGGACCGGCGCTCCACGTGCACCCAGGTGCACAGACTTTTTATGACTCCCAGGCCTTGAATGCCAAGCAAGGAGCGTGCAACCCCTCACACCCCGTTGCCTGACCCTGTGTGGAAAGTTACAGAACTCACCTGAAGTGCCTTTGCCAGGATTTTCCAAAGCCTGGGAGACATCCTGGGAGGGGAGGACTGGCTCCAGGGTGAGGAGCAGCTCCTGACTGGCAGGCATGGTGGCCTAGCTGGCCTTCTCCGCTACCCTGTCCTTGTGGAGGCTGACACCAGGCATGTACTGGCCAGTCTCAACGACAACAGGCAGGGGGAAGTGACTGCTCCCCCCCTCCCAGGATGGCATCGAGCTGCTCATAATAGCTGTAGGTGTGAGGAGCCACCCCAGAGCGTCCACTTAGCTCCCTGGCCTTGGCTCCCTGGAGCTTTTTAATTTTCATGCAGACCTGGTTGAGGGTGTAGGTGTGAGGAGCCACCCCAGAGCGTCCACTTAGCTCCCTGGCCTTGGCTCCCTGGAGCTTTTTAATTTTCATGCAGACCTGGTTGAGGGGCCACGTGTGTCCGTTTTCTGCCAGGATGGTGGCCGTAGACATCTGCATTCCTCCTCTTGGTGTGGAGATCCTGGAGGTTAGTCTTCTTGCCCCATACCTCAATGAGGTCCGGTATCTCCATGCCAGGCCAGTGCTCTCTTTCATTCCTGGCCAGGGGCAGCTGAGGGTGCTGCGGGAGTGCCAGCAGCCATGAGGGGTTCAGAGGGAGTGCTCCTGGGTTGGGTGCTTTGTGGCACAGGGCAGTGAAAGGTCCACACATGCCACAAGCCCTTTTCCTTCAGCCTGCTGCTTTAAGCTCTGCAGGAGAAGGGGAACATTAGAGATGTCAGGTGTGGCCGGAGTGGCCACAAGTGCACCTGTGAAAGGCTCCTGGAGGCCAGTTATTTCAAAATAGCAGCAGGTGAGCATCCACATTCACACTATTTTGAAACAATTTCAAAATAAGTGTTATTCCTCATGGAAAGCAGGAGTTATTATTTCAAAACAACCAGCCCTTTATTTTGAAATAATGGAGTAGGGACTGTGGATGCTCGCCTTGTTAATTCGAATTAAGGGAAGTTATTTCAAAATAACTCCGTAGGTACACCAGCGCAGAGTGAGGTGCCTACCAGCTTTCTAGCATGCAGTTATCCAGCTGAGTTCAGCTCTGCCACAACTGCTCTCTCTATTTACAGTGTCCCAGAATCCCACCTTAGTCTTGCAATCCCATTCAGTCTTGCAAGTGACTGAATGTCTCATCTGAAGTCAGGAGGAGTTGAGGGAGTTCAGCTAGTTAGAGGACTGGACCCTTGATCTGCTCCCTGCATGTTCATGCAATCCGTTTTTAGAGTAGGCATGCCAAGTCAATACTAAAAGTTCTTCTGCTTACTCCAAGAATGTGATTAGTTTAATAGTGACATTTTTATGGCACTAATACGATATATGTGTGTTGCACGATGACCTGCAAAAGTGGAAGCTTCTCTTTACTGGGGAGCAGTGCCCACATTGTGTTTTGTATTTAGGATTTCAGGAGAGGGAGGTTACTCTCTAATTTTATAGTGCAAAGAATACTACTAATGAACTTCCATCATAGTGTATTTGTTGTACTAAAAATATATTAGTTTCTTATGTGTTAACAGTTGTCTGTAAGTTGGTTACAATGAAAGAAAACAGGAAAAGGAATTGTGTATGTCTTTAATAACTTAATTACTAAAAATACCTCTTGTAGACATAAAACTTGAGTATTCCTTTAAGTTCACTAAAGGGTCTCTTTTTCCGTTTAACACAGGAGTATTGATTTCCCGAGGCTTTATTGGGACAGAATTTGGGGACAATTATTGGTCAGATAATGTATCAATGTAAATTAGTCAAAACTTAACATAGTGAAAAGGATGTGTGAACTAAGCTCTATTCCTGTTTTGTTTGATAGCTGGTTTAAATGGGAAGGAGCTTAAAGCTCTTGACAAAGATGTGATGCCATATTTTCAACCAGCTGCCATAAGACACATACCTGATGAAGTTTTCAAAGTAAGTGCTCGGATACTGAAGAAGTGTGATATTCCATCACTTTTACTCTATTATAAACAAACTGCAATATTAATTTATGCTTCAATTTGAGTTTCTGCAAGACCTTTTCTGGCTCAGTTATTAAGTGAGAGGCAGTTAAGTGTATCATGCATTAACTCACAGCTATATCATTTCTATTTGTGATACCCATAAAATGTCAAACCATTTATTTTATTTATGCTTAGTTCAAAATGTGTTCCAAGGGAAAAGGCATTATGAACGTGTTTTAAAACTGCAGCCTGAGGATATAGGGACAGGTGGCTTAGAGCAAGGTCTTTGTCTCTAATAATCTGCTGAGGTATGTCTTTTTTCTTCCATTATTAAGGACAAGTGAACACATTCACCCATACGATCAGAGCTACAAACAATCCCCTTGGATATATCTGGGCTCTTTTTGTTACCCCTAAGTTCTGATAGCATACAGCATTTGTAAAAGGAAAAAAATGAGAGGGGAGGAGGCTGAATTCAGATTTTGGTACAAGCAAATGCAATGCTGACTTCAATGGAATTCATCCTGCTTCTGTCAGAACAGATTATGGCCCGGAGACTAGCACGTGGATTTTGAAGTCTCTGACCTAGACATTGTTTGCCGTGAAGAGAAGATTAACATTCTGCCCAGTCACCTCTGGTTCAGACACTCATGAGGTCAGTCACTCAGTGTAGTGATGGATAGCTGAGCCAGACAGCTTAACTATCAGCTACCATAAAAGGAGAAGCTCCTTGACCACAAGATAGCGAAGTAGTGTTCTATACAGCACCTTTGACAGCTCCAATAATTCTGCAACCTCACTGTGTCACACTTTCAGTGCTGTGGACAATCCACCGACCACAGGGTCAAAGGTATTATTTAGAGATTCTCAACAGAATTCAGCAGATGTACACAAGAAAAGAGAGATGGACATGTGATGAAATTTCTAGATGGAGATGATTCTTTACAAAACAAATACAGAATCCTTACCCAGAAGAACCTACTGCACTTCTTTAGGGATTCAAAGTGGTATTTGTTTTACCATGGCTTTGTGTAGCTACAGTTTTATCTTAAAGTTTTCTGTGTGGGAAAAAATACCAGTTTAATGATTATAAGAAGACCAGCTGAAGTACTTGGCATTGCTCAAGTCTTTAAGTGAAGTAATAGTTTTTTGTGTTTGGAGAATAAAAGGAAAACATACAAGCTTTATATAAATGATTGTATTTTTCGAAAATGAAGGGAGAAAACGTGTATTAATAAAAGAATGAAAGTGATTCAAACATTAGAGCTTATTGGTAGACAATATTTTCATTTTTTGTAGAATACAAAGTGGGTGGAAGGGTTGGAGGTCCTCTTGGCAGGGTGCTGGGAGGTTGCAGGGGGGAGCTTACTGCCTGGGGTGGCAAGGATGGCACTACAGCGGCAGTGGCTCCTGGGGAGCCAGGGCAGCACTTGCCAGCTGGTGGCTTCTCCCAGAGGGCAGGGCTCCACTCCCTGACTGGTGGCTCTTCCCGGGGGGACGGAGCTCCACTCCCTGACTGGTGTCTCCTCTGGGTGGTGGCTCTCCACTCCCTGGCTGCACAAGCCTTCCCCAGCCTCCAGCTTGTCCAGGGGGATGGAGCTCCACGGGCCATCCTCAGCTTCCAGATGCACCCATTCCAGACTCCAACCTGGCCGAGGGACCCCCCACTCTGCAGCTGGTCCAGGTGGGTAAAGGCAAGACTCCATGGGTGGTTCTGGCCTTCAAGTGCCCCCCACCCTGCAGCCTGTTGGAAGCGGGGGGGGTGGCACTCCGTGGGCGGTCCCAGCCTCCAGGAGACCCCCTCGCTTACAGCCTGTCCAGGGAGGGGCGCAACATTCTGGGGCTGGCCCTGACCTTCAGAAGCCCGTTCCTGCCAGCAGCTGGTCCTGTCCTCTAGCCAGTTTGGAGGTGGCGGAGGGTGAGGCTCTAGGGGCTGGACCTGGCCTCCAGCAGCCCCAATCTGGCTGGTCTTCCCTCCTCCTCCCTGCAGCCTGTCTGAGGCCAGGCCATGGAAGACAGAAATGACTGAGACCATGAGGTGTTTTTTCTGATGGTTGGCATGCTTTAAGATGCAGCATAGTATCAAAAGGCTTGATGTCTCTGGAGAGAAACAACCTCTGATCAGGAGGCTGCAGAAAGATATTGTATATTTTTTAACAAGCTGATTCGAGAGCATGGCATAACCCCAGAGAACTTCTACAATACTGACGAAATGGGACTCTTTCAGCATTGCCTGCCAACATCAACCCTTGCTGGTGCAGGTGTGGTTGGTGAACCTGGATTCAAGAGGAACAAGAACCTCTGCTTACGTGTGCAAATGCTGCTGGCACACACACAATCACATTGCTAGTGATTTCAAAACTCAAGCAGCCAAGAGCATTCAAGGGTATTGTCCAGCTGCCAGTGGAGTACACAGCACAGCCTAAAGCAGGATGGACAAGACTTTGTATTGGTTCCACCATATCTTTTTTTCTTGTTGTAAAAGACCATCTGAAAGAACTTAGAGTACCAGAAGACCCAAAGGTTATTCTGGTTTTAGATAACTGCTGAGCTCACCCTTCTGAAGCAGAGCTTGTGTCTGGCAATATTTTCATGGTCGTCTCGTCTGCAAATGTTACCTCACTTGTTTCAAAATCTAAGTCTTCTGCATAAGGGATTTTATGAGGAAGCTGCACAACTTTGAAAGAACAATCCAAGAGTTTCAGTCACAGTACAGCATCAAGGATGCAATCTTCAATGCAGCATGTGCCTCGTCTGCTGTTAACTTTAAAGAGAGCATGGGGAAAATAGTGGGAGGAAGTGATATTTGTGGAGGAGTCCTTTGATGAAGAATTTTAAGGCTTCAACGTAAGACCAAAAAGGAGAGCACTACGAGAACTAGTTGATGTCCTTCAAAATGGCAACCCAGCAAACCCAATCACTAAACTGAAAGATAACAAAGTTGAAGAGTGAGTAAACATCAATCAAGGACTAGAGTCACAAAAACTCTGACAGACACTGAAATTATAGAAATGTTTGTCCATCCGGAGAGGAATACCTGTACTGCAGATGAAATAGAGTCAGAGGAAGAAGACCATAGTGAAGAAACAAAAGTCTCTTGGGCTACTGCTGCACAGTGTCTGGAAACTTTGGTGAAGTTTGCCGAGCAGCAGTCTTCTTCTTCTGCTCAGAAAGTCATGTTACTACACTCTTGTCCATAACAGTTTCCTCAAGAAAAAGCAACTGACTTGCAGGCAGGCAGACAATCTGCAAGATGCTTCAAGATGCTTCTGCAGCTTGTTCCTCTGGTCCAGCACCATCAAGATGGACAGCACAAGATATTGATGATGCTGAGGCAATAGAATAGCAGTAAATTATGGTTTTGTTTACAGTAATAGTGTTAAAAGATATAGTGTTAGGTAAGGTTATTTCATTTCTTAAACATTTTTGCATTTGGTGAAAAAGCTCAAGTAACCAGCACATTTGATTAACTAGCAACCCCTATTGAATGCCAGATAACAAACCTTGTACTGTACAGTCAAGACAGTACAGCATTTCTTGTAGATACCTGTTTTACAAACTGGTTTAATTATCGTATACTGAAAGATAATTACTGCATGGTTATTATGATTATCTTGTGTTGTGTAATTTCTAAAACAAGATTTAATGTGACCACATTTGGAAGATTGTCCATAGAAGGATAGAGCCAATGGTGGAACAATTACATATTTTCTTCTCACTACTGTATGGATAGCGGAACCTGTGTGTATCACATACAGGCAAGAATGGGGTAGATATAGAAGATGATGAAAAAGGAAAGAAACAAAAATAGTGTAGGCAGTAAATCCTCCGGGGAAGAAACTCCCCCCCCCCCCCCCCAAAAGGTGATTAAAACTGAGACTCGGATATCAGAGAGTTGACAAATACGCTGATAGCACAGAAAGTATCTCTAGAACCTATGTACTATTGCCACCAAAGAAGACAGAAAGCTATACGAATGGCCAGTGAGAGAAACAGATATGCAGTTATTTAAAAAAAAATACTGAGCACTTTTACAGAAATACAGGCTGTAGCTATTTTCCTCACTCTTAAGTATCAGGTAGTCTGGACCTCTGATTCATTACTTGTGTAATGTAGTGGACATCCCAAACCTGTTTTGTTTTTTTTTAATTTATTCCTCAAGGAGCTGTCCCCAGAACAAATAGCAAACCTTGGCCCTGAAAATGCAGCCATGGTTACAGAATCTCAGAGAAACCATCTGAATGTACTGCAGCTGCAGAGTCTTCAGTTGGCACTAGATGGCGCCAGGACAAGTGTCCAATATGCACAAACTAGTGCAAGCTCCATTCGGTCAACACATACTCCAGCCTCAAATTGTGAGTAGAACACTTGGGAGCTGATCCTGAGAGATAATGAGCATATCCCATTGAAATAAGTAGGGACTGCAGAGACTTAACATGCATCAGGCACAGGCCTTTGTTTTGGAGTCGTCATAATGAAAATTCTGGGCAATGTGTTTGAGCATGGGCACCTCAGATCAAAAGAAACATCATTTCAGCCAAGTACAATGGGAGCTTGGGTAGCCAGATTGGGGAGAGGGGCATTTCTCCAGTTGTATAAAGTTAGCGGAAAGTGCTTAATTTTAGGCACTTGTATTAGAAAATGCTTGCCTCCACTTTTATAATTATAAAAAGACATAGTAGCATTTAGTTACCAGAAATCAAGCCAAGCAGATATATTAGTTACCATAGACAGTATTAGTATACAGTTTCAACTCTGAGAAACTGGTCCATTTCTGAGAAATAAAGCCCCTACCAAGGGCTTTGTTTAATTCCTTACAATTCTGTCCCCAGTTGTTCTCACAAACAAGAGTGGGAGAGAGAGTATTTCCATTAGAAAAAGTACATTCGTAAGTACATTCCCACAGTCCCCTTATAGTAAAACTCAGTGGGAGGTTTTGGCTGACTAGCTCCCAATACCAAAAGGAAGGGGAAAAATTGATGATAAATCAGGACCCTGAGACTGAGTCCCTAGGAAAAATGGGGAGAGGCCAGTGTTCCATTTCAGCCTGATTGCTGGGCTGGAATTGCCTGGGTCAAAGTGGGGCAGAGCTAAGGAGAGTGCAGGGGCCCATCTGACCTGGAGAGCAGAGCTTGTGCCAGCCAAAGAGTGACATAGAAGCTGCTTAGCCAGCAGATATATGCTGGGAGCAGGGCTGCTGCAGCAACAGAAGCCAGAGAAGCAGCCCAGGAAGAAAGTCAGTGCTGAAGCAGAGCCATGGAAGCAGCCCAGGGAGCAGAGTGGTGCTGCAGTCACAGCTGCAGGAGAGCTGGAGTCACAGCATGAGAGAGTCCAGAGAAGTAGCCCGTGGAGCTGGAAGCAGAGCAGCATCAATGCTGAGGCAGAATGGAGGTGGAGCCAGGTGCAGTAAGCAACTGGGGCCAGTGAGTTGGTTGCGGGGAGACTCATGGGCAGTGGCCCCAGCACAGATGCCCCAGCTAAGGGTCAGACTGGCAGCGGGATCATAACCTGAGTGGGGGGACACGATGCTGATGCTGGCTGCCCCCTAGAGCCTGAAGATGTGTGGCCACTGCTAGAACAAGTGTCCAACTCACAGCATCCCTGCAGCACAGCCAGGGCCGGAGAAGGAAGCCTGGAATGTGCAAGGAACAGACTTGAACTTCCCTTACGTTCCAGAGACTGCTGTTTGTGATGTCTCCTGCCAGAGACTGGGTTTGTGTTGCTGCTTAATTGTATTTGTCTTGAACTATATGTCATGATCAGTGGGTCAAGGAAGCATTCCATGTGGAAAGCACCCCGGAGTGGGCACACCCAAGACCCTGCCCTAAGTGACCACTATAAGGTTGGGGGTAGAACCCCCAGGGATCCTGGGACAAGCTTTGTTGAGACTGTGAGTACTCCACCACGCAGGAGAGTGGAAGGGGAGCACTCATGGTCAGGAAGGCCTATGGATAAAGGAAGGGGGAGCCAGAGACTTATCCTTTTGTTAGCCCATTTCACCAGGATAGTGTAAAAGGCAGGAAAGTTCCCTTTAATAGTGGGACCATTCCCCCACTCACATTCATATGCCCCCTTTATCTCTCTCTCAAGAAATGTGCTTTGGGTAGCCATGGCCAGCCTTCATCTGAAGAAGTGGGTTGTGCCCACAAAAGCTCATGATACCATCTACATATTTTGTTAGTCTTTAAGATACTACTAGACTATTAGCTTTTTAAAAAAAGTTTTTCCTGTTACAGACTAACTTGGCTACCTCTCTGAGGCTTTTAAACATCTTTCAGTTAATCACAGGTTGCATTTACCTAAGCTGTGCAATGGGATGTAAATTACCTTTCCAGCCCAGAAGTCTGCACTCCCAAACGAAGTCACCCCAAGAGAGGGCAGGTACTGCTCCTACGCCACTGCCCACCCTCACTGTGAGGAACAGTAGCTGTATCAGGGTGTGGTGTGGGGGGCTAAATGAATGCTACAGGAGGGCTAAGAGCTGCTAGGTTGCTTTTGTTGTCACGTACACTAACTGAACTGCCTAGACCTAATAAAATGATTCTCCGCACCAGTGCTTTACCTGTGCAATCTGCTCCCTCTGTGGTTCTACCAGAGGCAGGAGTTTCCTGATCACCCCAACACAGCATAAAGCCCATCTGCGTACACAGGCTTTTCATTCATTCATTGCTATCACAGCAATGTAATGGAAGGTACCCATCTGAGACTCTTCTCTGTTGGGTGTGTGGATATTAAATTAAATCTTCCAGAGGCCAGAGCAAGGGGCACTTTCAGCAACTGAATATTCAGATTCTTACAGTTTGTTTCACTTCAGGTGTGCTTGGGGGTTCTCTGGGTGCCATTTTGTTTTACTGGGTAAAGTTGGGAAAGACAAGACAGCACTGTGCACATTCCACATAACACTAAGACATAATGCTTTGTATTTTTCAGGTGCCCACTTTTCAAGTGGCTTCAGCATTTGTTTGTGTGCCCTGTTTATCCTTTGTCTCACTTCCTGAAGTGTGATTGTTAAACTTAATGTAAGCATGACCCTTTTACTTAACATTCTTGGATAGCTCATTTCTGATTGAAATTAAATGTAGCTACTGATATAATAGACATCACAGAAATTTGAAAGAATGATGAGAATCAGTGGACTGGGATGACTGTAAAGGGCGACATAGGGCACCACCGGCCACATGACCCCTGCTGGGAAAGGGAGGGACAACCTCCTTCCGCCCCTCCTTCTGCCTCTCCCTGCCCCGCTCCACCTTTTCTCTGCCTCTTCCCCCAATAATATCTGTTTCAAAAGCTAAAAGATATCACAAGTGCTCAGTAAAAGTGGCCATACTGTAATTAAGTGACATCCACCACAGTACCATTTAACTTGAAAAATGGAAATTACACAAAAATGAGGAAGCTAATTAAATGGAAATTGAAAGGAACAGTCACAAAAGTGAAAATGCCTGCAAGCTGCATGGAAACATTTTTTAGAACACCATAACAGAGGCTCAAACTGAAGGCATATTCCAAATTTTTTAAAAAATACAGTAAGAGGATAAAAAAATGACACCATTGCAAAACAAGGAAAAGAGGCAGTTGGAGACAGAAAGGCATCTTTAAAAATTGGAAGTCAAATCCTACTGAGGAATTTATAAAGGAGCATAAACCTCTGGTAAGTCAAGCGTAAAAATACAATTAGGCAGGCCAAAAACATTTTTGAAGAGCAACTAGCAAAAGACACAAAAACTGGCAGAAAAAAAAGTACCTAGGAAGCCTGCCAAACAGCTTCTCATCATGGCCACTGGATGATAAAAATGCTAAAGGACCATTCAAGGAAGACAATGGCTGTTGCAGAGAAGCTAAATTAATTCTTTGCATTGGTCTTCATTGCAGAAGAAGTGAGGGAAATTTCCACTCCTGAACCATTCTTTTTAAGTAATAAATCTGAATAGCTGCCCCAGATTGAGGTGTGAGTAGGAGTTGTCTTTGAAACAAATTGATAAATTAAACAGTTAAGTCACCAGGACCAGATGGTATTCACCCAGGAGTTCTGAAGGAACTCAAATATGAAATTGCATAAGTACTAACTGTGGTATGCAACCTGTCATTTAAATTGGTCTCTGTACCAGATGACTGTAGGATCGTTCATGTGATGCTAATTTTTTTTAAAAAAGCTCCATAGGTGATGTTGGTAGTGATAGGTCTGGAAGTGTCACTTCAGTATGCAGCAAATTGGTTGAAATAATAGTAAAGAACAAAATTATCAAACACAGATAAACATGATATGTTGGGAAAGTGTCAACATGGCTTTTGTAAAAGGAAATCATGCCTCATCGATATATTAGAATTCTTTGAGAGTGCCAACAACTGTGTGCACATTTGAGCCAGTAGATATAGTGTACTTGGACTTTCAGAAAGGCTCTTAAGCAAAGTAAGCAGTCATGGATAAGAGAACAAAGGGTAGAAATAAAGATCAGTGTTCACAATGGAGAAAGGTAAATGATGAGATCCCTATGAATCTTAACTGGGACCAGTATGTTCAACATATTCATACATGATTTGGAAAAGGGGATAAACAAAGTGGCAAACTTTGCAGACAATACAAAATTACTCAAGTTAAGTTCCAAAACTGACTGTAAAGAGTTACAAAGGGATGTCACAGAACTGTCTCACCGGGCAACAAAATGTTTTAAGAAATTCAGTGTTGATAAATGCAAAGCAATGCACACTGGAAAACATAATCCCAATTCTGCATTCAAAATGATGAGGTCTAAATTAGCTGTCACCACTCAAGAAAGATTGTGGCGTTACTGTGGGTAGCTCTCTAAAAATATCTACTCTCTGCGCAGTGGCAAACAAGCTAGCAGAATGTTAAAAACCATTAAAAAAGGCATTGATAATAAGACAGAAAATCCCACACCACTATATAAATCAATGGAATACCCACTTCTTGAACAATTCATATAGTTTGGGTTATCCCGTCTCAAAAAAGATTAGAATTGGAAGAAGTACAGAAAAGGGCAACAAGATTAATGATGGCATGGAATGACTTCCATATGAAGAGAGTGAAAAGACTTAGACTGTTCAGCTAGGAAAGACGACTAAGTGGGGATATGATAGAGAGTTATAAAATCATGAATGGTGTGAAGAAAGTGAATAAGGAAGTATTACTTACTCCTTCTCATAAGAACCAGGAATTACCCCTATTAAATGAATAAGTAGCAGGTTTAAAACAAACTATAAGGAAGTATTTCTTCACACAAAATACAGCCACCTGTGAAACTCACTGCCAGGGGATGCTGTGAAGACCAAAACTATAACTGGTTACAAAAAATTAGCCAGATTTGTGGAAGATAGCCAAAATATCCTCTCTTTCAATGGTGGCTGGTGCCAAATGCTTCAGAAGGAATGAACAGAAGAAAGCAATTATTGAGTAATCCATCCTGTTGTCCAATCCCAGCTTCTGGCAGTCAGTGCACCAGGGGCACATAGAGCATGGGGTTGCATTCATGACCATCTTGGCTAGTAGGTCCAGATATAGTGACCACAAGGCTTTCAATGCTAAGAAACATGGCACAGTAGCCAGCAGACCCCACATGGAAGCCGTGACAGCTCAGGAGTGGAGTGGGGGGGGGGGGGGGGGGGTATGGTGTTTGGGACAGGCGCTCGGAGTGGGGCTCCCAGCTGGGCTTATGTGCCAGCAGTGGGCTTTTGGGGGCTCCCCTGCTCTTAGGGAGCTGGAGTGCAGTGCCTGACCGCCCAGAATCTGGCTGTCCCCATGGAGACTCACCCTCTCCCCTGTGGCTGCATTTACTGCAGCTTCCAGAGCACCCATGAGCCACCTGGGGGAGCCACCACACTGACCTGTCTGCTTCTTCCCTTCTGCTCCCAGTGGCAGACAGGAGGCCTTGGGCTTTGCGGGCAGGGAGGGGGCAGTGAGCAGCGCAGGTGGGACCTCAAAGAGGAGAGATTGGGACAGCAGCTCCCTGCACTACTGCTTTCCCCACCTTAGCAGGCTGCAGTGCCCCAGAGCACCGTGTGCACATGGCACTACCTGCACCTCACGTGGGGTAGGCAAGCACCCTTGCACCTCCCTGACCATCAAGGTTAGAGCCAGGCCTGACATGCACAATGGCCAGGGTGGGTAGAGTTGTGGGGGGAGAGAAAGGGCCCGGGCTGGTGGTGGGGGGAGGGAGAAGGGGGCCAGTGTAGAAAAGGGGGGCCTGGGCTGGCACAGTGTGGGAGAGAGAAGAGGCCCAGGATGGCCCGGCAGGGGAGGGGGAAGAGAGAAGGGGTGCTGGCATGGAAGAAGGAGAAGGGGGACCTAGGCTGGCATGGCAGGGGAGGTAGAAAGGACATGGGAAGAGAAGGGGCCCATGCTGGCCAGGGTAGAGGGGAAGGAGAAGGCCCCGGGGCAGGAGGGAGAAGAAACCTGTGCTGGCGTGTGGCAAAGGGGCGAGACCCAGGATTGCCTACCCCCTGCAAGAGGGGAGTTGGTGAGTGCAGTGAGCTTGGGGCACAGCCCCCTAGTTATTAGGGTTGCCAGATACTTTCACAAAAAATACCGAACATGGTGGGGAAAAAATTGTCTGAGAAAAAAAAAATCGGGGCACCAAAGTTGTTGAGCAAAAAAAAAGGGGGGGGGAATAAAGTTGAGAGGGGAAAAAAAGTGCACCAAAAAGAGTCACTGTGCCTTTAAATCCCCATGCTCCCCGCTCCCACCAGATGTGGCAGGGGAAGAATGTCCCAAGCGGCCTTCCGTCCAAGAAAGACAGAAAATACTGGACATTTTACATATCCACTATTTTCTGGGGGTGGGGGGAGGGGGAAGTTGTTGGGTTATTTTGGACAGAGACTGCAAATACTGGATACCTGGCAACCCTACTAGTTATTATTCAGCTGGAACAGCGACAGACTAAAGTTCAGAGTTGTAGTTTAGCAAAATACCTGCCCCAGTGTCCCATTGTTTAAAAATGCTAACATTCTGTAACACTAATTTGCTTTTTTGTTTGTTTTCCAGAAGCCTAGAACACACATGGGAGTTGATAGAACAGATCATTTAGAAAGCCAATCAGTGGATAAAGAGCTGCAGCCTCTCGGGGATGCTGGATCATAGTAGTGGTTAGTGTCTTAAAAAGCAACAAACTGATCCAGCACTCAGTTTCATCGTATGAGTATAGACAGCAAGTACTATTTGCTGTCTTACATTTCAGAGATTTTAGGACTCTTCCTACCCTTTCATGACAAGCTGGTGTCTCATGAAAAGACAGTGAAGGCTTCAGATTTATACATATTACAGAGGAGCCTGAATGACTCAGGAGACTGATACAGTGATAGAGATTGTTAGGCAGTCCATGTGCTGTGGTCATGGCTTTAAATATTGACCAGTTTACTCTTACTGCTTCCTTGTACTTCCCTGTCTGTCTCAGCTTGCATTATGCGACTTAGGCTCATGATTGGCCCTCCATCATCTCAGTGGGCCACAAGATTGTCACATCCAAGACAGTCTGTCGGGATAGGGTAGTTTTGCTCACTGTGCTCACATATCTAAAATTTGCAGGGTGTGCTGACTGAACATAGCACTTCATTGGATGCAAAGGGAGTGCATGGTTCTCACCAACAACATCATACGTGCTGATTGCACACCTCACTTCACATGCCCTTGCTTTACATGTATGTCACTTTAGTAATACGGCAGGAAAAAAACTACATGGACAGAACCCCGTGAAATCTGATAACTCTGTGCATGTGAAACTGTAAACAAAATGTCTCACAGGCCACACATAGAATCCTGATGGGCTACATGTGCCCCAGGAGCCAAAGGTTGCCCGTTACCAGTCTTAGCCATTTATTGTTTCCTCTTATATTTTGATTGCAAGCTCTTCAGGGTAAGCTCTTTGATTGCAAGCTCTTATATTTTGGTACAGCACCATGGAACCCCAGTTGTTACCACAATACCTCTAGGATGATGTCTGAAGCCTGCCCACATAAATAGTACAGGCTGTTACTATTCTATGGGTGAGAAGTGAATAGGCCCCTGCTTTATTTCTTGTAGGAATAATCCACTAAACATTGTATTTTATCAACATATAGAGTGTGTCCAGTATTTAAAATAGGAAAATTTTCATGTCAAGTCCCCATATTTTAAACATTGTCAGCTGAAAACAGTTCTTACGCTCTTCTTATACACAATTGTCTTTTGCTGGTGGTGTTGCCAAAAATCCATGGTAAACATTTATTTTGCAATTGCAAAAAATTTGTGGAATAAGATGACAGCATCCTGTTTAAGTACTTTTAAATAGGACAATTTATAGTCTAGAAATTACTGTTATTCCTGTTAGATTGTACTATAATAAATCATATTTCAAATCTTTGTTGATATATTTGTATTTTTTTAAATCTTACAGTGTTATGGGCAATCTTATGTCCTTTGGTATTGCTTTATAAACAAATCTACCATTGCTAAAGGTTATCTCATATCTATTTCTCTGCTGCAGTAGATATGGTAAGAGTTATCCCACTGCATTCATTTTCTGTATGAAAGAAGATTGTTCTGTTTATTTAAATATACAGGATCTTGTTTTTAATTTAACCCCAGCAAATGCACATTAAAAACTCCAATCTCAATTAGAAGTAAAAGCACAAAAAGTTTTGTTCTTTAGGGCATCTCCCTTTATTTAAAAAAGCAGCGAGTCTTAATTTCCTGTGTAAGTTGTGGCATAGTCTGACTTAAAACTTCAGCTGCAATTATGTACTGCATCCTGACAGATCTGGCTTATTACATGGTGTCTGCACCTTCCTGAAGATCATTCCCACCTGATTTGTTTTCAACAGACGCAGCCAATTTAGCCTGAAGCGCTTTTTTCTTAGGAGAAGACCTTATTAAATTCTTGTGATATTTCTTCAGGAAAAAAAAAGTGAAGCTTCTATTTCATCCTGCTTTCTGTGCCAATTATTGTCTTACATCTTTCCCCTCCTTTTGAATCTGCACCCAGGACAAAAGTCAGCAGGCAGCACAACTTCCAGAGGTGTTGATTAAATACATCTAGAGAGATGTAGAGAAATGTGACATGATGGAATTATTCTCATTTTACAATATGTAAATATGTAGGAGAAACAAACCATTTTGTACCTGGATATTCCTTAGATTAGACATGATTTATGTCAAATGTCCTATCCATTACCATATATCCCCAACTTAGACCTTGGCAACATTATAGATCTGTTGTTGTTCTGGTTCTCAAGATATCTTAGCAGAGGTCAGTTATTTCTGCTCCTCTGAATAAAATCATCCCTTCCTTTTTGGAGAAGATGGCTTGTCAGATTGTAACAGTTGTGACCAAAAGCACCTAGTTCAGTGGAGCAGGATGTAAACAGGATTGAAAAGACAAGCCCCCAAATGAAGCAACTTCAACTCCCAAAACAAGTTCAGTGTCTAACCAAACCCACTCAGGACCAAGAATGTCTTTAAGCCTTTTTCAGAAAGAGAGGGTCTCTTGTGTGCCAGTGTACATAACATAAGGAGGTAAAAGCCCCTTTAATAGGTTAACCGGTTAAATCTTTTGTTTAACCGGTTATCCGATTAAAGGAGGTGTGGGGGCCACTCCAACCCCCTGGGCTGAAGAGGCCCCCTCACTGCAGGCAGGGGCTGCTCCAGCCTGCCCAGAGCAGCCTCTGTCCACAACAAGCTCTTGATGGGGCTAGAACAGCCCCCTGCCTGCAACAGGTAGGGAGGTGCTCCAGCCCCCAGATTAATGGGTAACTGGAACTGGTGAGCATTACCCGGTTAACTTTTCACATCCCTAATATAGCTTCCGTTGAAATAGAGAGAGCTGGACAACTTTCCCAAGAACAAGATAAATCTTCTGTACCCTCCAAGTGCTCATAATTCTATTTTATTATGTCAAGTGTCCTGGCTGTTATGAATTAATTGGTAAATCAAAGGCATTATCTCAAGTACTCCAGTTGACTCCAACTATCTTACTGGAAATCAGAGACAACAGCTAGCTTGCACCATATAAGGATTTATCAAAGTTAACACCTGGTCTGTTAATTGTACCAGGAAGCAGATAAGTCATTGCAGTTTTCAGAACAAATCTGTTTCCTTATTTTAACAAACAGTCAATATACATCTGTGTATGTGCTTGCCCCGTTTTTGACCATCAGTTGTACTTCAGTTTCACTCTGCTTTTCTAATCCTGATTAATAAGGATTTTCTTCTCACGCTGCAGTCCTGTTATTTAGAGCCTACAATTGGAACAATTATGCAGTGATGTACTAAAAGCAGGAGCTGTGATTGTCAGATTTCTTGGTTGGCTAGCACCAGCAACATGCTACAGTCACCTTCAAGATTTTAGTAGGTATTAATTAACTTTAAGACCTTTGTTTTAACAGTCTCTCTCCTATATTATGAAGTCTTTTTTGGGGGGGGGGAGGGGTTAGTTTCCAGAGGAGAAATTGGAGACCAGAAGAAAGAAGTGGAGCTTCTCATTGTAAGTTTTCCACTGATAAAGCCTGAAAATTCCTGAAATAAAACAAGAGACACCTGAAAAACTCTCATATTTATCCTATAAACACACACACACAAACCCCACCATGGCCACCATGGCTATTTGTATCTAAGTAGCTGTCTATATGGAGCAGTAATGTGGACTTCAGGGTATGATTTCTAAAGTGCATTAACTGATCTGTGTAGAATTGACCCTGCTAGTATACACTACAAGTTCCCCAGTGCACTTTAACGTTTCAAACAGCACTACAGTATTAGAGTGCACGAGGGAGCATAATAAAGAGATGACTCATTACAGTAGTTTAAGGTGTAATGAGTAATTATATACATTACTCTTTATGGTACATAGAAAGAAAGCCCTGTAATAAACAATTTCTGGACATCTACATAAACCTCAAACATCGTAGAACACAAATCCTGAAAAACAAAATGAAGTAACTGAAAAAATTGAAGCCCTAAACATAAGCTCACACAAATAAGCATGGGATTCTTTTTTCTGTTGTACACTCCTCTGAATTTTCTATTAGATTAATACAATTTTGTCTGTAATGTAGTTAAGACTAAATGTTGCTACAGTAATGGATTGATGCACAAGTTAAAGTTGCTCTGGATCATCTTTAATTTGGGTTCTAGTGTGTTTGAATATTTATCAGATGTCAGAAGAAAGTGGGTTAGAAACTAGCTCTGCATACATTCTGCATGAACTGAAAATATTTGACAAATAGAGGAAGAATGTCAGTTCTGTGCCCTTGATACATTTATTATCAATTCCAGCCCTATAGTTAAGTACTTGTATTTTACTCATAGGTTTAGAGGCATTTGAGCAAAGACTTATCCATGACTAGAATGCTAGATACCATACAGTTAATCCTGGATCAAAGAACTTCTCCAGGGATCAACAAGATCTGGTTGCTCAACTAAGTATTCTTCTAGGAAAGAAAGAAAATTGTACTTACTAGACCTGACTCTCTGATATCAGTGTATAACAGGTATATAGTGCCACTGCAGACATCAGCGATCCAACTTACACTGTGTTTCTATAGAATTGTTGCTATCACTCAGCATGATTGATGTAATCATACTTCCATGGAAATTTCAATATAATTCTTTAAGTACAGGCAGTCCCCGACTTACGTCGGATCCGCAGATACGAACGGGGCTGCCCCAGAGTATACGGACTGCAGGACCTCGCGGTCCTGCCGCCCGTGTTCTCTGGGGCTTTCTCTGCGTCTCCCTGGTCTGCAGACCAGGAAGACGCAGAGCAAAGCCGCGGAGGGCTTTCTAAAAGCCAGTTCCGACTTACATACAGATTCAACTTAAGAACAAACCTACAGTCCCTATCTTGTACGTAACCCGGGGACTGCCTGTATTACATTTGGGTACCGAACACTTAACATATGCCCTCAAATGTGGTCCTACTTGCTGCCATCTACGCATATTTGCTGGGGCCTGAAAGTTACTTGACCATCTATTTAGAATGGTTAGTCCATCAGAGTCCAAATGCAATAGCTTTCAAACACTATTAAACTCATCTTTCCTGTGGTACTTTACAGGAAGAGAAGAGCTATGGGGATAAAGGAGTTTATCAAGGGCTATAATGCAGGACTTTGGAATTTAGACCATGATGGCAGTCTTGATCACTCACTTTTGAAAATACGTAAAAATGTCCCTGATACAGGATGAGTGCTTGTTTAAGAAGCAATAAAAATGGAATTATAAGTTTGACACAATCACCATCCTATATAGTTACACTCACATGCTAACTAAACCCTTTAAAGAGTTTAACTACAATTTATTCAGGATAAACATGGAAAAGGAAAAAAATAGTGAGAATCGTTTCACTATTTTTCAAATGGCAAAATAAAATTTTGCTAGTGGAGAATTTTCTGTTGACTTTTCCCAAACAAGGCAACTCTTTTCTAAAAGATACCAGCTTTCTACAATATTAAAGTAATTATATTCTCTTCTCAAAATGGGTGAACTTGGAATGCAAAAAATCTCTCTCTAAAAAATTTTTCCTGCAGGACCACAGAAGCTACGTCTAGACTGCAGGATTCTTGCACAAGAAACTTTTTTTGGAAGAGATCTTCTGAAAAAATCTTGCAAAAGAGTGCGTCCACACACAAAAGCACATAGAAAAAGCAATGTGCTTTTGCGAAAGAGAATGTCCAGACTGATCGGACGCTCTCTCACATGAAAGGCCACCCAGAACCACTTCAGGCAGGGCTTTAGGTCATCAGTTGCTTCTGAGTGCTGGTGTCGGAGCCTTGCAGAAACATGAGCTAAAAGGGACCCCCCTGGACAGCCATTTCTCTGCTTCTGCTGTGTGCTTGCTACCTCCTCGAGGGACAGCAAAGCTCTCGTAGTGCCTGCTGTGGTTGCCCTGTTCTTTTTCGGATGCCACAGTTTTGTTCTTTGTGCCATGGAGCTGGAGCTGCCCCTGGGCATGCAATGGTCCTACATGGCCATGCTGCAGTTTTTGGACTGGTGGGACCGGCTGGTCCTGGAGTGGTGGCTCCAAAACTTCCGCATGCGGAAGGCCAGCTTTTTGGAGCTATGTGCCTGGCTCGCCCCTGCCCTCCAGACACACGACACCAACCTGCAGCCTGCCATCCCACTGGAGAAGCGGGTTACAATTGCCCTCTGGAAGCTCGCCACCTCCGACAGCTACCAGTTGGTGGGCAACCAGTTCAGTGTGGGGAAGTCCACCATCAGGGCCCTTCTCATGGAGATAAGGAGCTCTCGGGCTGCAGTCCCTGCGGGGGGGGT